TCCTATTTATATGCCTTGTTGACGCGTAAATACCCAGTATATGCTATTACTAATTATTACATCATTCCATCATCACTATCTCTATTATTTCGTAACACGCTACAATATCGCATTCTTATCCCTATTGTTCCCATAACATTTCCCCACGCTTATTTTGTATGCTCCACGTATAAACCTTAGTTAAGCTTTTCTCGTTCATAGTACTTCTTTAAGATCTTTACGTTTACTGGACTGGCTATCACGCACCTATCTAATGTTCGTAACTTATAAGTATCACCCACGAGTCGTTCATGAATATAGTAGGGCCCTCGCCATTTTGGTCCAAACTTATTGCTTTTAGAGTATTCGAGAGTAGCCCGATACATCAGAACCTTATCTCCAATATCATAGACTGTAGCTGATAGATGATATGCATCATAATATATTTTCTGCTTTTCTTGGGACTTGCGTACTTGGCTAATTGCTTTTTCTCTGTTCTTAGGTAGGGTATCCGTTAAGTTGAAGAGTCTTTGCAAAAACGTTCATTCCAGCCCTTCTCCATCCCTACTTGGATGTAACGGTTGTCTAGCTTCGCGACCATAGACCAGGTAAAATGGGGACATTTTGGTAGTTGAATGCTTTGCCATTCTGTATGCAAATAGAATAGGAGAAACCAGCAAATCCCACTCAGTCACGTTTTGTACCAGTTTAGCGATTGACTCACACAAAGTGCGGTTAAACCGCTCCACCAGACCATTCATTTGGGGATGATATGGTGTCGATAACTGATGTTTCGTCTTCAACTTTTCAACTAATTCTTTAATTACATTATTACGAAAATGTGTGCCGCGGTCGGTGAGTATTCGTTCTGGGCAGCCATGCTGACAAATGATTTCATCATACAGGAAATCCGCAACGGTTTGTGCGTCGGCTTGCTTCACGGCTTTAGCTTCTGGCCACTTCATCATATAATCCACAGCAACTAAGATATACCTATTTCGACGAGAGGTGCTAGGGAGGGGTCCTACGAAGTCAATACCAATCCGTCTAAACAGCGCTTCCACTAGTATTGGTTGTAGCGGCCCAGGCACAAATCCCTGACCTCGACGCTGACACTAATCACATATCTGTATATACGTCCGAATGTCATCAATTATTTGTGGCCAGAAGTAAAGTTCTTTCATCTTACTAATCATTGCCTCTTTACCGAGATGACCGCCTAGTGGATGTGTGTACATGAGAAACAATATCAACTCCACTTCGTGCCATTGTATCACATATAGAAGACGTTCCTTCACCTTTTGATCCCTTATGTACATAATTCCGTCCTTGAATACATATTGCTTACTTTTTTCGATCAATCGTTGTTTATCTTTGTTCGTCATATTCGCTGGTAACCTTCATTCGTGTAAGTAACCCCTTAGCTGATTGTAAGACGTTGCGTCTATTACTACCCACCCTAATGCCTGATTCTCAATACAAGAAAAAGTGACTTTAGCATCGACATATCATGATTCCTATTATAGTGGCTAAAGTTTCGTCATGATGTCGTCATCTATGATATTTTTTTTTTTTGTTATATTTTTATTTTTATTATTATTATTATTATTATTATTATTATTTTTTTTTTTTATTTATAGCTGGGCTTTAGTTATAAGACTAGAGGCGTGATAACACATCAGCGTTATTGTGCTTCTTTCCCTTCTTGTAAATGATCATAAAATTAAAAGGTTGCAGGCATAATACCCATCGAACGCACCTTCCTGAAAGTTTTGATGTTTGTAACTATTTTAAGGCAGCGTGATCGGTTACCACTACGAAGTGACTTATGCCATAATAATGTTGGAAATGTTCGACCGCCCAAATTACGGCTAAACATTCCAACTCCGTCGCGACGTAATTTCGTTCGTGTTTAGTCAGTTCCCAACTAGCATACGAGATCACAAATTCTTCTCCATTATCGTCTCGTTGTGCAAGAACTGCACCTAACCCTGATCCAGATGCATCTGCGTGAATATAAAATATCTTTGAATAGTCTGGATATCTTAGTATTGGCACCGTAATTAAATGTCTTTTCAGTGTTTCGAACGCATGTTCCTGCTCTGCCTCCCATTTGAACTTCATGTTCTTTCTCATTAACTGGTGTAATGGACGTGCAATTGTTGCGAACTCCCCAATGAACTGTCGGTAGTATGAGGCTAACCCGATAAATCCATGTAACTGCCGCAAGTCCCTGGGTACAGGAAAGTCCCTAACCTTAGCAATTTTTACGTCGTCTGGTTGAATCTCATTTCTTCCGACAATGTGACCTAAAAACTGAATGCTAGCATGGAAAAACTTACATTTCAAGAAATTAAGCTTCAGTTCAGCTTCCTTGAGCTTTTCGATTACTAATTCCAGATGTATCAAATGTTCCTCAAATGATTTGAAATAAATTGTTATGTCGTCCAAATACATCACTACAAATTTTCTAATAAAATTGTGAAGAATCGTATTCATCAGCCTTTGAAACGTGGCTGGTGCGTTACTGAGCCCAAATGGCATAACATTAAATTCATAAGTTCCCCACGATGTCACAAACGCTGTTTTTTCCTTATCTTCCTTCTTCATCATCACTTGCCAATAGCCCGATAACAAATCAATAGTACTGAACCACTCGGCATCAGCGAAGGCTTCGATCAGATCGTCGACTCGAGGTAAGGGGTAAATGTCCTTTTTCATTACTCTGTTTAATTTACGGAAGTCGACACACAACCTTAGCTTCCCCTCTCTTTTCGGTACTACTATTATAGGCGATGCTCATGGACTCCTTGATTCACAGATTAATTTCCGCTCTTTTAACTGCATAATTTCTTCCTTAATGAATTTCTTTATATCTGGGGCAGCACTATACATATTTTGTTTGATTGGGATTGCATCACCTGTGTCAATAGTATGCTGTACCACCCCAGTGGTTCCTAACTCTTGAACAGACTGCGCCAAGACATCACTTTCCCTTAACAGCAATTCCTTTGCTTGTTCTACTCGTTCTTTGGCTAATTCTTCCGCAACTTCTATATTCTTTATCTTTTCTTCTAGTGTTTCCGTCGGTTCTTCATTTGTTGTTATTGGTAATTCCTCTACCTGAGACAAGTAAGCTGCTGGTCCTAAATTACTCATTCGATCTTCACTACCAGAATTCAGGTCATTCATCTCTTCTTCGACGAAATATCCCTCCTGTTCATCTACTTCCTCTTCTTCGTAAATGACTTCATCTAGAATTTGATCTGTTTCATCCTCATCCCACCCTTCATCATTTGGTTCTTCTTTCTCACCTTTGTTCACCAGAATCTTTTTCGTAATATCATTAGAGATAGGTATTTTAATTATTTTCTCGTTATGTTTTAGTACTAATTTTTGTTTATCGTAATAAATTCTTGCTTTGACTCTCTCGAACCAGTCATTTTCCAGCAGAAAGGTTTCATCAGACGAATCGACCACCTGCAGTGGTGTAGGGATCTGACTTTCTTGAATCAAAATTTTTAAACTATTAATATTTCCTAAAGTTCTAGTTCTCAATCCCGTGAGTGTTACTATTTTCATTGTTGACTTTTCCTCGATCTTTAGCTTGAGCTTATCCATTAATTTTTTTGTGATGAAGCTCACAGCAGCCCCGGTATCAACTATCGCCACTATAAAGACATTCTTAATTTTTACTTGACATTTCATGGCTGTCGTTTTCTTCTCTTCTGTCTTAACGAAATGTGTTTCCTCCAATGGTAGAGGTGGCGACCTCCAGAGCACTTTTGCCAGCATCTTACATTGATTCGCGTATTGCAGCATTTGCCCGATCGTAGCACTCGCATTCTTGGATAAAAGATCATCAACTACATTATACGCAGGTGCCTGTTCTATTACTGATGGATCTTGTCTTCTATGTGGTTTCTTGACAGGTGGCACTTCTTCCATTTCTTCATCCTCATCAGGCAGCAGTTGATCATCATCATATTCTGGGATCTGTACGTTTGGGTTTGGTCTACTCCTTAGTCGACCTTCCCAAATCGATTCCGAACTTGGTACGACTTTCTTTCCTTTGTTTCCATTCCCATAGGAATAATGTTCTTCCCCCACGTACGCTTGATATTCACTTGCATCCTCATCCTCCAGGATTGTGTATTGAACCAGGTTTGTTTGAGAGTCACTTCTTGGCGTATTTTCCTTCTTTGGATAGTTATGTGCAAAATGATCCTTTTCTCTGTATGTGTAACAGCTTCGATCTCCTACACCATTAGAGGTCTTCGGCCTATTTGTACTATTTTGTTCACTTGACGCCAGTCGCCTATAGCCCTCTTTCATTTCCCGAACTTGCTTGAGCAGTTCTTGAATATCGCTTTCCATTTTCTGAGTTCTACTAGTATCTCCATCTATTACAAAACCTAAATCGTCCTCGACCCTTTTCGCCTCATCAATGGTCTCTCTTAATGAGATGGAGTTTGCCATGGCAGGTATAGATGCCATCTTCCCTTTTAATCCATTGGTAAACATTCTTACTACACAGATTCTTGTGTACTCACCACCGGAATCAACTTTCTTTAACAGTTGTTTAAACCTATGGGCGTACGCCATTACCTTCTTATTGTTCCCTTGTTTTAAACTAAACAACTCAGCTTGCCATCGCCGTCGTTGTTCGGTCGACACGAAATATTGCAGAAAGTTTGGTACGAAACTCCTTTGATAGTGGCGCTCGTTATCCCAGTAGGTTAATTGAGCCTCATATTCTTCATACCAATCCGAGGCCATTCCTTCTAAATAACTCATCACCATTTCCAACTTATCTTCATTTATCCAACGGTTCACTTTAGCTACCTTTTTGTAATGTTCCAACCATGAATATGGGTCTTCGAGCTCTTCCCCTCTGAACTCACGTATCTTAACCCATTGAGCTTCTCTTCTTCTTTTTTCTCTTGCTTCCGTCTTTGGTTCTTGGCGCCCTATATTTAATTGGTTAATCACGTTTACTAGTTCTCGCAAAACATTTTGTTGTCCATTCATTCGGGGTGATTCTAATTCGATCAAATTTTCATTGTCTTCGCAGAAAAGATCATCCATCTTTTAATTTAATAAATTAACCAAAAGTCATGAGGAGATCACGAGTTCTGTTCTGATTTTTTGTAGAAGGCAAGGTCTTGTTTTCTTGTTATTCTGTAATACTACAACACTGTCTTTCCCTTTAATAGAGTTTTTGGTTAATCCACGTTTCTCTTTTTCCACAAGGTACTACGATATCCTTTCGCACAATTTATTGGGGGGAGATAACAAGCGTTCCTATTTCACAGTTACCATCAAATGTTGTCGTCACCGGCGAGTCGGTCGCTAAAACGGTGCACTTTTCGCATGACGATAATCTGAACGCTTGGATTATGGCACTAAAATAAGGTAAGGCTTTAACTCCGAGGCGGTTACAATTTGGCC